AATTAATCCCTACTTTTCAACTACTCCCCACATCTTTTCCTCCAAGTATGCACAATGGCTCCTTATCGAGATGACTTGATCGGTGGAAGCTTTCCTAAGTACAGTGGTGTAGGTTCGGATTCCCATCCGAGGAGAAGAGACCAAGAGAGAAGGACGTCCCCTTCACCTACACTGCTACCCTATAGTAGTACCATATTATGTGACATTAGATGGTGGATGTGTTGCAAAGAGAGGATTCATGGCCATGTGAAACTTTGCAGCAACTGAAATCATATTGTTCATTAGCCAAAAAAGATCAAGTATGATCTAATTAATGTTGAAAACATGATGGGGTAAATTTGTATGTATATGTGAAGACTGCAGAAGCATGGCCATGCATGAAAACTTCTATGCAATCTAACGAAACAAGTGTACTCATGATCTGATGCAGGTTGAGGTCGAAGGCTGTTCTATCTGCATGGTTCCATGCAAAGTCAGGTGCCAAGTACTCGAGCAATTAATGTGCATTAAACTTCTGCATGAACTCCACAGACATTATCTCTATTAAACAACGCAAGAGACTTGTAGTTTTTTTAGGGTAAACATCAATCATTAATCCATGAATAGTGTTCATGTGCAGAGACATGCGAGCCCATTAGTGATCTCCCAAGTCTCCCAATCCAGTGCAGTTGAAGTTGAATGAGACCTGAAGCGTCGACTTGCGACACTGATATGACTATGTTATCCATCTCACCTTTCATCGTGTTTTTTACTTGACTCTGCTCTTATATGATCATTTGAAATGAGATTAAGGGACAAATTATCAGCTATATGTAGTTTAGTATTTTTCCCAAATATATAGTTTGGATATGCCATAAATGGTTATTCCATTTACTCGACTAATCTTCTAATTTCTAGACTATAATATATACTAAAGAATATAGCTTTCTAATTTCCAAATCAGAGCAAGTTTTCTTGGGTTGATTAGTATATTCTACTTTCTCAAACATAGTTGTAGGACCTCTTGATCCAGACATACTGAGCCACAAAAGAAAAGTTTGAAGGTACCTTCATTAAGGGCCGTCAATTTGGCCCAATTCCGGCCCATGAACAGGTGTCCAACAACCCTAGGAAGAAGCACATTAATCACATACCGAGTGCAGAGAGAGAGAGAGAGAGACAGAGAGGAGTTGAGCTCGTGGTCAGCTCTGACTCCCAGCTGTAGGTTTGGGCCATTTATTTTGTCTTTACTCTCCTTTACCCCCTCACATCCTCCTTTATTGCTACTTATCTTCCCCTTCCAAACGCCATCAGGTACTCTCTCTCTCTCTCTCTCTAATGTAATCATATCACCTATCATCACCACCCTCTCTCAGGTTTATCTCCCCACAGCCATCCTCAGAATGAAAGCCGAGACTTCAGGGGGAGAAAGAAGGAGAAAGGAAGCTTTTCCTTTGAGGGGAATGTTGTCTGGCTCGAGGCATTTGTAGTAGTTTGAGATTTACAGATCTTACATGTTCTCTTATATTTCGAGATCTCGGACCAGGCTTCATTCCCCCCAATCACAGCTTCCATGCATCCATCTCGGTGAACTCCGACATCACACACTGCTTTGGCTGGTAGCCGCAGGATTCTGAGATCCGTGCACAGTTCTGCTGGCTTGTGATGTGTTCTTCACTTTCTTTTACTTTTTTGCTTTCTGAGGAGGCAAGGAGAAGCAGATTGGTGTAGTGATATGGGCTTTTGACCAACTCTTCTTTCAATCTGTCTTCTGCTAGCTTTACTTCGTTCTCTCTCTGACAGGAGGAAGTTGGACAAGAGCTTCATCATTGCCTTGTCATTGCCTTCGGAGGTGATCTTTCTTTTCTTCCTTGATGTTCTTTCTGACGAATACCATCATGTTTGTTCCTTCCTTTGCTACATTCAACCATTAGATTCTTGTAGATCTTCTTGGAAAGATCTGTATCTTCTGATACACATCTTCTAAAACATGAATATGTGAGTTAATTTGTCAGCATAGACTGCTCGTGGTGGTCTATCTAAAGTGACATCTTCCATCACTTTGTTTTGATTCGCTTTCCACTTTGCCTCCGAGATCTTCCTTCTGCAACACTTTCCTCTCCTTTCTGCGCTCACTCTGACGCTTAAAGAAGATTATGTGGTTAATCATGCGGTCTCAAAATGATCCATAAGCTTTCTGAGTAGTTACTGGTTTTTGTAGTCTTCAGGAGTTTTAGATCTTGATAGGTGTCCTTAGACCATTGTTTCCTACAAAGTATTTGATGGGCTATTTAGATACAACACGAACACGAACTGATGTCTCCAAGAATCACAACATGTAGTATTTGTAGTGCAAATGATCCTCTTTCTATATAATTCTTTTCTCTTTAGTACGGCCACTGACATATCACATGATCTGATAAAGCTATAAATACACAAACAAGCATTTGGAATTGTAGCATATATAATCTAACCCTAATCGCAATGTTGCTACATGAACATTTCCTTGCGTCAATGTGTAGATCCATCATCAACGCCAATTCTGCAAGGGTGTTAAACAACACAATATATATATATATATAACACTCGGCTTCTAAACGATGGGTAAGAAATCCTTAATGCAATTATTACAGTCTTATTTGTCTCCAGCTTGAAAAATATTAATTAGAGTTTGAAGGGAAAACACATAAAGCTAATGGCACGTGTGGCATCTGACATGAAGCTCTGGGAGTGGTCACTCGAAGGGCTGTGGAACTACAGTGGCAGTGTGACCTTTGTCCAAATCTACTGTGGCTAGGGCTAGGGTTTTGGACTTTGGGTTGCTTAGGGTTTTACTTGGGAGCTTGTCAACCTCACGCCCCAAAACGAGAAACACCAACGTCATGCATTGGATCCCATCACTCACTTCCATCACCTGACAGCCTTTCCCTGCTGCTTTTGCTCTTAGAAAACCTCGCCCTCTTATATCCAACTCCAGGATTTTAGCGAGTATCGCATTGTTAAGCTCGATGATTCAGAGCTCCATCTTAGCTGATGTCTTGTGAATAATGAGATGGAGAATGATGCCTTTGGGTTAAGGGCAAGAGCCTACCACAGCTTTTGATGCTCGACTGCAACTCCACACATGGATAAAGATGTGGAATGGTACAAGAAACCGTGTCGTATCTGTTGCTTTACTGCCTTTCATCTCTTGTTCTCTTATATTTGTTTCGTACATGAGCTGTTGATAGCTCGAGAAAGCTGGATGAAGGAAGCGAAACAGTATCAAACACTTTCCTGATTCAAGAGTTCCCTTCTGTGTCACTCAAGAACAAACAATGGCTGCTTGCTTAGTTCTACCGTGAACTCTGTTGAAGGTTTTCTCTTCCAATCTATCTTTCTGCCTAGTGGTTGGAAAACTGTAGGCAGCAAACGACAAAGGATAGCAGAATGATGCTGCAAAGCCCAAGTACCCAAGGCACTAGCAAACATGAACAGCTTAGAAGAACTCTTGGAAGTACATTATTTCCTGGTGTTTCACAGCATCAATCTGCTTTCCTTTCGATATAAGCAACTGTTCTTCCTTTCCAGTATATGTTGTGATGCACATCCACAGATTAATGGTCGAAGAAGCACTCATCTTCCAGCAAATTCCATATGTATATGGAATTTGTCAAACACTGAAGCAGCAGCAGGACTGCAAACGCATATATATCAGCTGAAACATGATTTTTGCTTCTTGAATCAAATAAGGGAACCAACCGAGTCTTCTTTTAGAGTGTTTTGTTCCGACATTATGTGGCTGTCATGCTGTTTGGTTCTCACACTTTCTACTCCATTAGTCATGTCATTTACTCGACCATTTATTAATTCCTCCATTATTGGAGGTTCTCGAATGGTGTAACGATCGATAATTGAGTTCCTAATTGTAATTAGAACGACAAAAAAGAAGCCCTCGTTTTCTTTAGTTACCGCACACCACAGTGATGATTGATATATATGATTGGGGAAAGCCGACATGATGAAGACGTAAGTTAAAACGTGGCCACATGTGCTTGATTGGTCAACCATAATAGTCATCTGTCAATTAGATCTGATCGACATGTGATAGTCGGATCCAAAGACGCATGATCTTTATAAGTCGCACATGGTCGAACGTTTGATCATCATATCACATACTCTACGAGAGGTATAGATATGCACTTTAGATATTTTTTCTCTTAATATTTTGAACTTAGTATTGTAGGGTCGATGTGTTAGAAAACTACAAATAGAACTTCATACAATTTCGGAATAAGCTTCGATTCGATCTCACTCTCCAGATTGGATAATCAGAACTTGACTTAACAATATATTTATTGAATAACATGATTTTTCTAAAATTTAAATTTATTGAGAACAAATAAATGACATCATAGGCTATATTAATGGCTACAATATATAATTATATATTTTACTACAACATCAAAATTATCCTCTAAATTCTTACACTATATATATATATATTATGTAATATCAAACTAAGCTCTAAAATGAAAATTATATTAAAAAAATTATCAATAGTGCAAAAGGAGATAAAAAAAAAGGCCTATGAAGATTTTATTAAAAACTATAGATAGAAGATTCAATCACTCTTAATTGAATAAAAGCTATGGAATTGTACATAAAATGACAATAAAAAACCTGTATAATGGATTTCAAATAATTAAGGCATTACTATTTATAATATTTTAGATTTTATGTTTGTAGTCAAATGAGTTAATGCTAATTAGATTTGATCATATGATCAATTAATATTTTTTTAAAGAATAAATGATGAAGGTGAAATTTTAGCTCAACATGTTACGATTAACTGTCTTTATCAACTAAATTATCTTCATGATTAATTTAAGTTTCTTGGATAGATATAAATTAGAAAATAATATAGGGTGAATTCGGAAAAATTACTCATTAATATATTTCTCATTTCACCTTGATGCGAATAAACTTAAATAAGGGGACTTTTTCGATAAGTAATCCTTTACTAGTCTTCTCGTTTCGGCTCTCCCTATCCCCCACTCCCCAACCTCCCAACCAAGAAAGAGAAAACCCCAACCCATTCGATCCCGTCCATGGAGGAGGCCGAGCCCAAGAACGGCGAGATCCCCAACCATTCGATCGATGAAACACGCGATTCCCCAGTAGAAGTCAAAGGAAACGACGTCGAATCGATGTCGGAGTCCAAGGAAAGCGAGATCGAATCGACGTTGGAGACCAAAGAAGTCGAGATCCAATCGACGTTGGAGGCCGAGGAAGGCGAGATGGAACCGACGTCGGATGTCATGAAAGGCGAGATCGAGGCGGAAGGAGTCGAGAAGGAACTCTCTCCATCTGTGGAAGCTGAGGCTTCGAACGGCAACGGGATTCGCACGTTAACGATGCGAGAGCTTCTGGACGAACTCAAGGAAGAAGAAAAGGGGCCCACTGGGGGGAAGGACGAGAGATCTTGGTCAGCGGATCCGACCAGAGACGACGGTAGCAATGCTCAGAGGAGTAGCCATGCTGAGAGTTCCTCTTTTAGGTTTGTTCTCCTCTGATTTGTCTTTGCAGTGACTAGACCTTGACGAATGGTCTTTTTGGAAATTTACTAAACATATGTTGGATGATTGTTCATGGATCACAATGTGATCTCTATGGTTCATGTTCATTCTTTTCTTGGCGGCAAATGGGCACTATTCCTCGTTTTTCTTCACTATCTTTCGTTGGAATCTATTTCTTTGAAGTCAGAAGTTACAATTTTGTAGCGCAAGTAAAAAATTATACCACACAATTTTCTGATAGTATACTTCCCCTATAAGTTCGAGTAAACACTTCACGGAACATTTCTTGATATTTTGCAATTGGTGCCAACAGAGGGTCCATCTTAGCAACCATGCACGACACCATCACAATGGGGATCAGGTGATGAGATCAGAAGAACCTATAGTCAAATTGTTAGTCATAAGAATCTTTATTGAAGAAAAAAAAGGAAATGCATGTTGTACAATATAAAAAGATAAAGATACTTTGAAATGCAAGAATCTGAACGGATCACTCCCATCATAGCCTGCATATATCATATCCAAAAAAATAAAGTACTTGATCAGGCTGATTTTACCTGGCATAGGTGACTATGCCAGGCAAGGTGCTGGATCCTCACCTTGGCCATTAGGCAGATAATCAAGAAAAATATGGAAGAATGATAGGGGAGAAAGAATAACCTAGATTTACAGATAATAGATCCAAATTCTCGGTACTGTGACCTATAGCTGGTCTGAAATTGTCACTTATGCATGTTATAAATGGGATCAGATAGCATCTTGTGAATGACTCTTGGAGTGTACAAGAACTGTTTTCTTATTTGGGTATGAATGTCACCCTTCTATACTAGTGATGGTTGCCCAGTGTTGTTTAACAGTTGATATAATAACATAACACCAAATGACATTTTCTTGATATCTGATATATGCTAACAATTGGTATTTGATGTATATGCTAACTGTGGCAAGCCATAGTTATGCAATGTAATGTCGGTTATGAAATGCATGCATTCTCCTTGATTGCAATTTAATTTTGTAGTATGATATCTGATACATGCTAACAATTGATATTTGATGTATATGTTAACTGTGGCATGCCATAGTCTTGCTATGTAAGGTCAGTTATGAAATGCATGCATTCCCCTTGACTGCAGTTTAATGTTGTAGTATGCATCAAGAAAATGATTTTTTTTTTTTTTTCTGTAAACAAGAACAAAATCTTTTAGCTCTTGGTTTCTCTGCCTAATTTTGGTTAGTATTTTTACTGTTTCACATACATGCCATCATGGTCTTAGATTTTTATAGGCTCATGCTCTATGTTTTCATATGGTGGAGTATTTATGCATTTGGGGAGCTTTGTCTACTTTTGTTATGTTTCGGATGACAGATATTGTACTAGACCTATTACTTATCTCAAATCTTTGCATGTTTCCCACACTAGGAAGAAGGATAAAATAAACATTATTGTGATCTTCTTTTCCATACTGTTTCAGCCAGAATGACGTTTCAATGGATTTAATTAATAAAGTAACTGGAGTGGATGAGGAAGGTCGTTCTCGCCAACGGATTCTTTTATATGCAGCTAAAAAGTATGTCCTCTTTTCAATTTGTCATTTCCTTTCTTTCGAATGGATTTTAAACTTTGCTAATATGGTAAGGTTTTCTTTAGTTTTTTATTTATTCAACATTTCAACTGTTGTTGTAATAGTTAATCTTCTTTATTCTTTTTCTAGCCTTCTCACGTAATGACGACTAACAAGAATATTTCATACTTTTCTCTCTGATTATTTCTTTATTCCTTGTTTTAACAATTTCAGATGATTCAGTTGTTGATAGTTTCATAATCAAATCAGTGTTCTGTGGACTGCTTTGAAGTTTCATAATTTCATCTAACTTGTGTTAGTAGATTTTACTTGATGCTTCGTCATTTCTTAGCCAATGGTTGTTATAGAGATCAATGGTGTTTGGAATAATTCAAGAATTGCAACCTTTATTTGTTAGTTTGGTTAATAAGTGTAGGAGAAATTGGTGAAGAAAACAAGTGGATCACTACTATTATTAATCAGATTCTGATTTTGTGTAATACCTTGATCATAACAAAATACTATATGTACAAACAAATGCACGCTAGAAATCATCAGTGTCTTGGTCCTCTATGTGGTGCCTTTTCCTTGAATGATAGGAAAAAGCATATTGTTTCTGACGTCTTATTGATCAAACAGCCCTCCCCCAATGAAGTTCTGAAAGTTGCGGCATAGTTTTTGAATGTCATAGTCACTTTGATTTAAACTATTTGAAAATATTACTTAATTTTCTAACATGATTATCTCTGAGTGACACATGTAACTTGGATATGCTGCAAGTAAATCATATGATTCAATTGATTCCTCTAGGAATGCATGCTTGGCCAGGTTCAGATACAGGAAAAAGGGAAGTGTCATTGGAGAAGTAGAAAGTATGGAAAAGCACAGGAAACTTGCTATGGAACAGAAATAGTTGTCTCTAGTAAGTCTGGAAGCTTGAAAGTCCTGAGAAGTTGAGAAGTGTTGGAGGCTATGAATACGTATCATATTTCTGATAGTTGTTCTATGACTAGTATAAGATGGAAGCTCAAAAGTTTAACCTGTATATGTAGGCTGGTTTAAGACTGTTGGTAGAAGATTCGATCATTAATATTAGGTGCATTACTGCACATTCAACATGTGCTAGCTAATCAGAGTCTTGCCAACATGTCAAAAACAGTTGCAAAGGGCACGACCGCGTGCAAGGTTGGGCAACTATATAAAACCAGGTACATTGACTATACAGACACATTATGGCAAGGTATTGTTTTTATGTACTGAAGAATGTTGCACCTCTGAGTGGCAAGAGGGTCTTATGAGGAATGGAAATCCTTGGTGAGTCCATGATAGTAGAGAAGCTAATATATTATAAAACAAGAGGATTCAAAATTAATTTTTTTATTTTATAAGTCATGTGATTGTATTAATGTTTGGCTACTTTGATATCAAAACCAGTTTACTAAATGAGTGCATTTGGAGTTTGGACTAGTACCTTACCGACCCATCTGTGAAATAACCAACATTTTCTTAAGTTTTGGAGATCATAGATTTATAGCAGGAACATCTCAGTAACCTGTTGATTCTAGTTATGTGCCAGGTTAACACTACTTCTGTATGCCCTTGGCAAAAGAGTCTTACCCATACACCTGGGTGTCATGGGTTTGAAACTTTGAATCATGTAAATAAGTAACATCTATATGTATGAGGTAAAGTCTGCATCCATCTCACCTTTGTAGACTTTGCAGTGGTTGCATTGTTGTGTTTTTTTTTGTTGGTTGGTTTGATACTTATGACTTGAGGCTAATATGCATCACGTGGAATGGAACTTGGGCATATTTGTACAGATGCTAGATGCTAGTTTCTTGTACATCAATAATCCATTTAAATATTTTGTAGATATGTTAGTGCAATACAGAGAAATCCAGAAGATCATGATGCACTTTACAATTGGGCATTGGTTCTCCAGGTATTGTTCCTGTTACTTTCAGTTTTAATTTCTATATGCTTATTGTAGATATGCTTGTAATTCCCGTAGGCCTCTAAACATAGCTTAATTACACGAAAATGCGCATGTAGGTAACCCCAAATAGTTGGAATATTATATCTCGTTGTTGCTGTTGGGGTGCTTGAAAGTTCACCCTTCTATTGTTCTTAGCCATCTGACACTATGTGGCAAATCACCGAGCATCAACAAGACACTACCATTCAGGAAGTCTGCCTATTATGATATGTTAATGAAATTTGTGTTGAATGTTCTGATGTGCCCATATCATTTATCATTACAAATGCCACACTCTTTCCAAATTCTAAGGTGACCAAGCTTTGGGGGGTTAATCTTATTAGTCATAATTTTATATTTTTCATACCAGAGGTACAAACATGATAAGCAAAATATGATATTTAAAGGATACCAAATTGCTTTTTCAGTTCTTTGGCTGGTCCGGACCGGTCTATACAATCGTACCGACACACAGTACGTTGGAACGTGTCGACAGTTCCAAAAAAAACCTAGAAAATGTTTGAAAATATCTGAAAATTAGGAAAACAACCTAAATTAGGGTATTTTAATTAGAACTAAATGCAAATTTAGTTCTATTTCAATAAAAAAATATCCAAATAAGGAAGGGATAAGGGATTTATCCTTTTTGGACGTTCATGAGTAGCTTTGTGGCACATTCCAAATGGTTCTTCCATTGATATTGAACAAAAGTGAGAATTTGTGAGAAAGAGAGAGTGACTGAGTGAGAAAGAGTGTTATAAGATATGACATTGAAATGGGGTGGAAGAGGAGGGAGGAAAGGAGTTAAATAGGCATTCTAATGGGTCCAATGGTCAAATGACCAATGGAACCAATTCAATCTGGGCCCTTAATTCATTTCAGTTGCAATCCGACCATTATTGACTAGTATAGGTTGGTAACGGTCAAATTTTGATCATTTCACACCCGTTGAAAGGGTGTCTCGCTCGATACGCTCCTCAACTATGGTCGGTCAGCTGTTGGACTAGTGTGTACTGCCTGTGCCATACTGTTTCGGCCGATATATTGAACTATTATCAGTTCTAAGTTTGGAAAAAAGTGAGATGTTTATATTTGTTTTTGATAATGTGAAAATCTGTATCATATTTGTGCTCTCTTAAGTTAGTTGTATCTTTCTTTTTGCATACGTTATGATCGAATGCAGGAGAGTGCTGACAATGTTGGTCCAGATTCTGTTTCTTCTAAAGATGCCTTACTTGAGGAGGCTTGCAAAAAGTATGAGGAAGCCACACGACTTTGTCCTATGCTCTACGATGTAACTATCTTTGTCCTAATCATTGTCTCCCTACTTTTCTGAAATGCCCTGAACATATGTCTGGAAAAACCATGCTATTCTCTTGTGTCTAGATTCATGATTTAGTGTGCTGATAATACTTTAATTGGTTAGATAACGTATTGCAACTTGGACTTCTGATATTGTGGATTTAACAATTTGGGTGATTCCTTCCTTTTGTCATTAAGCTAAATATGATTTACCTTGTGCCATGCATATATTCCTAGTAGTAATCCTCCCCAGACTCTTCAAAATTAGCAGGTGCCTTGTGCAATGGGCCATTTCTTTTCCCCTTCAAATTACTGCTTTAGCTACTGTCTTTATTCTCCATTTGCTTTCCTATTTTGTTCACCTTTTCTTTTTGTTATTTGATCAGAGTATTACTTATTTTTCTACTGCTATATTTTTCCAGTTAACTGCTATTATTGCTGCTTGTTTTTCTTTTTGATGCCCTTATGTCATGAAATGTTTTCTGATTTTTTTATGCAACAAATTGTATAGGTAATACTGTGCATGTCACTCCCTCAAATTATCATCCTATGTGACTATCAACTAAAGCATCTTCTGTTAGCTGGTTGGCCTTCATCTTGAATGTTAGGTGTATGGCATGCAAACATGTTAGATTATAAATAACAAATAATATGATATGAATACAATAATATTGATATACCAATAGAAATTTTGTAGGTCAGTGACAGTTCTATTTCTATTTGCTATATGAATTATTATCCTCAACAAATCTTTGTATACTTTTACATCAATATATGAAAAAAGTTAGAGATGTAATGACAGCATTGAGTCTTAAGCCATGCTCTTATGGTCATGGATTGCCTTATTGCTGCACACCAGTGTGCTGGCTGGCAAATGGGCACATGTTGATATGATGTGGTATGGTACAGTGACATACTGACATGGGTAAGTCAGAAGAGTATTGGGAGAGAGAGAGAGAGAGAGAGAGAGAGAGAGAGAGAGAGAGAGAGAG